CGTCCTAGGCAGTTTTGCTTCAGGTGAAGGCTATGCACTGAGCTACTGCTGAGTTACAGTAGCTGTGGTGGTTTCATCATCACTGTGTTTCTAGAAATGGTAGTCATTACTGTGCAATGAGCTTTGAGATACTGTGATTTTAAAGGACACTAGAGAAAATCAAATTCTGTGATATTGTTCAGTTATGAGCATTAAAGCTGTAAGCATTGGCTTTGCAGAAAGGGACATCTAGTGGCTGTACAAAAAGACCCTTACTAAATACATTTTTAAATGTACAACTTAGCCATTTGTGTGTGGCCTGCAGTCTCCGGTATTCCATACATCTTTGTAGCTCTACTACATCGTGTGTTTGTCGGGATAATTTTTTATGGTTTTGGCAAACAAAAAAATCACCTTTGCAAGCCATACCTTTCTAGCTTTATGCAGGTCTGTGTATGGTAGCTTTGGCAAATAGAAAACTGCCTTCAAGCCATGCTTGAGGTACCTCACTGCTGCACTTCCACGTTTTCTATAGCATCTTCCAGGAGTCCACTGCCTGCTGTTTCCTTCTGCCATTGCCTTCCCCTTTGGTACTGTACTTGGAGAGGTTGTCATTGTTATTGTCATGGTAAAATCTACTTTCTTTTGAATGCCCATGGCATAAAAGTCAGCAGGAGGGGTGGATGAGATTCAGGGAAACGCTAATCTAAGCACTCAGTCATGTATTACACAACAAAAGTTTTTTCCTTTCCCATCCACGTTGGGCTCCTTCTTACTAGTTGAGGATGAATTCCATGCATGTTTCTGTGAATAGCCTGACAGTTTAATCGGTACATTTGCATATGGGCAAACGGAGCTTTTTTCAAAGTTGCACAGTAATATGTTTCACCTTTATGCCATGCCAGCTTCAAATTGCATCCCAGGAGGATTGCAAATGTGCATAATCTGTGCAGTTGTCTGGGCTTTTTTTCTTTTCTTTTTTTCTGCTTTTTTCTTCATCTTTTTTTTTTTTTAACTGGCAAACGCCTATTCATTGCCCATCTGGGTAAGAATGGCCTTTGCATTTTCACACCCATTCTTTCCTATATGGTTTGTGAATACCCTTCCAATCAGAACTTGCTTCACAGAAAGGGGACAAAACCATTTTACAGGAGTTTCTCAGAATAAGTCCATTGGGATCTCTACATCATGTTTACTGGACAAAAAAGGGGAGGGGGGGCACTTAACAAAGACCACTTGAATTTCACAGAAAGGTTCCCACTGTCTCAAGTTTAAAAGAGTGGCAGGCCTGAGAAGAGCCTGAGACAGCAGTCTTTTTCCTGAGCCAGACATTCTGTGCAGTGACGAGTAGGTGAGTGTGCGCGTGTGTAGCTGCATCTTGTGAAGAGCTGACACACTTTCTGGCTTGTCCAAGGCTCTAGTAGTCTTTGTCAGAATGTGGCATTTACTTTAGAATCAAACCGGCATTGGCGAGTCCACCTTTTATGGGGAGCATTGCCTTTGGACTTTCAGCTTAGAACAGCGTACAGTAAGGGACAACCACAAAACTTGGATCTGGACACAGTTTCCTGCAGAGGGAGAGGAACTGCATGGGACAGCAGGTTTTGCTACAGACCAATCTCTGGAATTTGTTAAAGCTGCTCTTTTATACTGCTGTGGTTTGTGTAGTAACATCTCTGACACTATTGCAGACTCTTTGGTTGCCTGTACTTTTGATAGGTGTGGTTTTCAGTGTTGAATGTCAAGGAGGGTGGCCTAGGAGAAACATCCTCAAAATCTGTATTAGCTTTTTTTACCATTTGTTACGTGTCTCTTCCACCCACCCCTCTTGTTTTATCCATAAGGAGTGAATTTCAGTTCTTTCTAAGTTGAAGAAGTGGTAGATGTTCCAATTTCATTTGAATAAGTAAAGAAATGAGGAGAGGATTTTTTTTAAGGGAAAACTCTGTTATACCAATAGCAACCAAATCGTACTCCATGCCTTTTATGAAGCGTCTCAATTGACTTTCATACCAGTTCCTACACCTCAGGGTGCATCCTAGATCAGTTCCTGTAGGAGAGCTATTCACATCACTTATAAATGCATACAAACCTCTTTTGTTTAGCCTTGATTAACCCCAGCTGGCTGTTTTCATCAAGTTGGGTAATGACCAAATACATTGTGGCTACACAACTCTTGCTTCGCACAGCCAGAACCTGAGATAGACTGCTGAAACTTACAGATGAACCTTGCCCTTCCTCCCTTCTGTACATGATTTGTGGATAAGTGGCAGAATTCACTTTCCCAAGAAGTCATCCAGTCTTGTGGTGCATACCACACCTTTCTGGAAAGGAGTTGTTCTGAGGATGCATTTTTCAGAGTTCCACTCACAAAATTCATTTTATCTGCCAAGGTGCATAGGAACAAAGTACATTTATTTGCACCTGCTCAAGTCAAGAGACCTGTCCATAGCATCTCTGGCATGTGTGGAATATTCTACCCTGTGCATGCGCAAGGCAGGATTTTTGATTTACTGAGTTAGACTGCTGCATATTTCTTCTTATTACCAAATACCTCATTTGACAAAGCAGAACATAAACTGTAGGTCATTCCCTTTTCCAAAAGCACATCTTCAAGACATGTATGCCTGAAAAGGGAGCCCTAGGGTCAAACCAAGTAGTGATCAATACTTACCGATGGAAAAATTTCTAGCATACTGATAGGCAGCCACTCAAAGGGTGATGCAGATAAATGGGTAGCTATGCAATCACTTGCCATGGCCTACAGCAGGTCTCGAAAAGAGGTGTTGTCTGTTTATCATTAATTTTCGACCCTTCTGTTTCCCTACCAGTACAAAGCTTTTATCAAGTTCTCTTCCATTCAGATCAAGGATTCTGATTTTTTATGTAAATACATTCTGAATCCTCATGTGATCTGACATGTTGGGAAGGGAAGCATCTGGAACTGCCCTGGAGACCTCTGAAGAATTACCCTATCTGGAATGAGGAGGGAATACTTCTCTTCTGTACATTATTTTGTGTAATAATAGTTGCAGTGTCCTTGAAGGAAAGTCTCCCAGTTTCTAAGATGTTTTTCCAGTCCTGTGATCAGTCTCATCAGCGGAGGAAACTCAGGTTTCCCAGCAGAGCTTATGAACAAGACAGATGTAATTCACAACCTCCATGATACTACTGTTAGTGGTTTCCTCCCTGTTTCTCCTATGTGAGCATCCCCCCAGTGCTCTAATCTCACATGGAAATTAGTACCCTTCTGATACTGGCTGGTTTACATCTGTTAACATCAGACTTCTTCAGACAGCTTGGCCCCATCAGGATTTCCAGTTCCTGACCTTTGTGCTTCCCTTTTATCATTCAGCTACTTCAGAGAATTAAAATAACCACCTGTATCCAAGGTGGTTTCTCTTTGAACCACCAGAACAGAGGGTGCTTGAGATGTCAAAAGTGGATAAATGAGAAGGAAAAAGCAGAGCAGGGAGGATGCCACAGTTTCCTGCAAATTGCAGTGAGCAGTGTTCTACTGCCTGTGTGTGAGATGTAAAGCACCCTTTAAGCTGGAGCAGAGGGACATTGTTGGGCTAAAAGGCATGTATACCAAACCGCTTTCAATGCCATTTATTTGCTTCCTATATTTCTGATAAAACAGACAGTAACAATAAGCTAGTTTAATTTACTCATGCTTCTCTACCAAATTTCACTTTGATTCTCACACATTAACAAGTAATTGTGGCAAGAGGGGTTGTAGCTTTGGTAGGAATATTCAAGACAAAATGCTTGTAATACTAGTGGTGATTCTGCATTACTTTTCTCTGCGTACTTTTCTGGGAACCAAGGTGATGCATGTACTACAAATGCTAAGAGAAATAAATTATTAATAATGTTTTATTTGTTCACCACTCAAAGGGCAGTTGGTTCTTCATTGCTAAAAGGTGAAACTATAGTTTCTGCCCATCAAAATCCAAATAGGTGAAAAATGAGTAAAGAACAGGAAAGGAAATGAAAAAGCATTAAAACCAAAGCAAGCAGGATGGAGGTAGGGAAAAGTGGGTCAAGACATTAAGAAGTTACTTTTTAGTCACTTGTAAAAGTTAATTTTGAAGGATATGTTGGCTCTGTACCCAAATTGGTTATATGCTTTTCTAAACTGTTCTCTATTTAGACTATTCAGCCAAACTAAGACAGAGTCTTCCTTAGAGTAAATGTCTGTAATTTTCCAGTTTCTGTCAAGTAAATAACAGCAGGAGAACATTTGTTTTTATATGATGGCATTCTGGTGCCAGTCAGAACTTGGGATATGCTAAAAATGAAGGGGACGGCTCATGTTAACTTTTTGCTTTGGGTTCTTACAGAGGACTGTTTGTCACTATTGGGTAGCAAATGTTCTAAACCACAACCCCAGACAAAACTGTGCATGGGATTTTAGGAACATTTACAGCCTAAATCTTGAACCAGATTTGGATTTTACAAAGTGACTGCCAGTTTTTTTGATACAAGTAACTGTACTGTAAAACACAGAATCCAAATTCCTTAAAATACCAATCTAGATAGAAATCACATTTTCATATAGACTCTTTGCATTAACAACTTGGTGTAAAAGGTCATTAAAGTAAGAATCTGATCTTTTCTGGCATAGGTCCACGTCCGAACAGCCTAAAATCCAGCTTTAATCCATGTGCTCAGTGTTTACAATTGGCTGGCTCTAGGCTTTTTAAAGCCAGATAAACTGATAGGAAGTCCAAGGCCCAGGAATGTGGTTGGAATTTAGGCCCAACTACACCTGTCTTTGTCTGCTTTTGTCCAAAAATTCAGGACTTGAGCTTCTGCAAATGAGTAGCAAAGTTTACTTCGAGCCTTACAGAGATTATGTCTTCTTATCAGTGCCTTTGTATGTGATTTTTACAGTATAATCTGTTTTGTTTACTCAGTGGGCAATCACCTTCACCAGTGCCCTGACTGTGGCTCTGCAGAGGACAAGACTCAATCTGTTCTTTTTTTTTTTTTTTGTGTCACCTGCTTTTCTACAGGTAACATCAGTTGCAAGGGGATGACAGAGCGCATTCATAGCATCAACCTTCACAACTTCAGCAATTCTGTGCTCGAGACCCTCAACGAGCAGCGCAACCGTGGCCACTTCTGTGACGTGACGGTCCGCATCCACGGGAGCATGCTACGCGCCCACCGTTGTGTGCTGGCGGCTGGCAGCCCCTTCTTCCAGGACAAGCTGCTGCTGGGCTACAGCGACATCGAGATCCCCTCAGTGGTGTCAGTCCAGTCTGTGCAAAAGCTCATTGACTTCATGTACAGCGGGGTGCTGCGGGTCTCACAGTCGGAGGCCCTCCAAATACTCACAGCTGCCAGCATCCTGCAGATCAAGACTGTGATTGATGAGTGCACAAGGATTGTCTCACAAAATGTGGGAGAGGTCTACCCGGTGATTCAGGATTCAGGCCAGGAGACACCCAGGGGAACACCCGAATCAGGCACCTCGGGGCAGAGCACTGACACAGAGTCTGGCTACCTGCAGAGCCATTCGCAGCACAGCGTGGACAGGATCTATTCAGCCCTCTATGCCTGTTCCATGCAAAATGGCAGTGGGGAGCGCTCCTTTTACAGTGGAGCTGTGGTCAGCCACCATGAAACAGCCCTGGGGCTCCCCAGGGACCACCACATGGAAGACCCCAGCTGGATTACCCGGATCCATGAACGGTCGCAACAGATGGAGCGGTACCTCTCCACCACTCCAGAGACCACACACTGCCGCAAGCAACCACGCCCTGTCCGAATTCAAACCCTGATGGGCAACATCCATATTAAGCAGGAGATGGAGGATGACTATGACTACTATGGCCAACAGAGGGTGCAGATCCTTGAGCGCAATGAGTCTGAGGAATGCACTGAGGACACTGACCAAGCAGAAGGCACTGAGAGTGAGCCCAAAGGGGAGAGTTTTGACTCAGGAGTCAGTTCCTCCATTGGCACTGAGCCTGATTCCATGGAGCAGCAGTTTATGGCTGGTCTGGGCCGGGATGGGCAGCAAGAACCTTCTCAAGCAGATCAAAATGACGTCCCTGCTGATGGCACTCAGCCGCAGCAGCAGCAGCAGCAGCAGCAGCAGCATGTAGATGCCAACTCTTTCTCGCCAGAGAGAAGCAATGACGTTGAAATGGACAGCAAAGTGCTCACAGTCAATAACAGCACCGAAAAGGGGGCTTTGCAGCCTTCTGTCAACACAACTGTTGCCCAACCATTGCCAACCACACAGATCTACTTACGCCAGACAGAAACCCTCACCAGCAATCTGAGGATGCCACTGACTCTGACCAGCAACACTCAGGTCATTGGCACAGCTGGCAACACCTACCTGCCTGCCCTTTTCACCACACAGTCTGCTGGCAGTGGCCCTAAGCCTTTTCTCTTCAGCCTGCCCCAGCCTTTAGCTGGCCAACAGACACAGTTTGTGACAGTGTCCCAGCCTGGCCTGTCAACCTTTACTGCCCAGCTGCCAGCCCCACAGCCCTTGGCCCCATCTGCGGGCCACAGCACAGCAGGTGGGCAAGGTGAAAAAAAGCCTTACGAGTGCACTCTCTGTAACAAGACTTTCACCGCCAAACAGAACTACGTCAAGCACATGTTTGTACACACAGGTAAGAGTACGTTCCTTTGGCTTATACACAGAGCCAGAGAAAGTCCTTGACAAACATGGACTTAGATTCTGTTTCCCAACCTGCCAGCACAAACAGGAGGGAGAGGTTATCCAGGGAGCTGGTGTCGCTGAACACTTTCTGAGCTTACTGCATTGAAGTTGACCCCTTGCAGAAACGGTCCCTTACAGGGACCTAACTGTGCATGGTGCAGAAACAGGTTCATTTTACTTCGAGTAAAACATGTCCTGCACCCATCCAAGGAAATGGTAAGCATTTTTTGTCCCCTGCAAGCTGACCAGGCAACATTAAGTACAAGTGGCATGAGGAAACTGTAATAAGTCATTAAAGAAAAACTGTATCTACTAAGAAAGGGCATCACCCTGTAAGTTTCACAGCTATGGGAATTTAAGCTCAAATGATGATGATTGGCCTGAGTTTAGGGAAAGTTCATTCCTGGTGGAGTTGCAGCAGTAGGTCCAGGCCTGGGTGTTACACACACTGCCACATATTTTCTAAATCTCACGTATTCCTATAAGAAAGTAAATTTGGAGTTTTTTCAGGAAGTTTTTTGTACTTCACTGAAGCTGATTGCTGTAATCCCCTGTCTCTTGGTAAGTCAGATGTTTCACTAGTTGTGAGTACAGAAACATAGGGCTCAATGAGAAAAAATTAAAATAATATATGTAGGACACAACATCAGCACCCTTTTTGTTTAAAGATACAACTGTTTTAGTATATGGTCTTTTTAGATGATATAGGTAACCATATTTATTACTGAGCCGAAACTGCCTTTTCTAGCTTTGTCAGGTTACAAATCTTCAAAGCAAGGAGATATATGTAACTTACATGGAGAAGCTATCCTGGGTTTGGGACTAAATTTTGCTTGCTTTAGCCCTTGGCTCATTCTGATGTTAGAGAGAAATTCTAGTTTAGAGAAAGAGTAAATATTTCTCTCATCAAGCAGTGGTTTTGCTGACATCAGATCTTAAAATAAATGCTGGGTTCGTGATACATGGAGTAGAACCTGGAGAAATTGCCCGAGGTATGGGAGGAATGAAAGTCATGCCTCCCCATTGTATCCAATAGATTTCACTTCCATGTGCGTATGTAAACTTTTAACTTCTATTTACCTATAATTATCACTTAAATGAAAACTTTCTCTAGACCTCTAAGGCAGACATGTACTTATACAAAAAGGTCAACTTCTCAGGACTGGTACAAAATGTATGATTGCAAGGATCAAGAATCCTGAATCCCAAGATTGCCCTTTGTGTCTGCTTATGTTCTCCATCTTTCTGTCGTAGATGAGTAGCTAAAATACTATGTAGATAGTGTTGTGTTATTCAGAAAAATATCCCCTTCAGAACACAGTCAAATATATCTCTGCCTGCATTCTTGTACTAAAAGCTAGAAAGGCTTTTTCACAAGTAACTTCATTGAGCTTAGGTGCTTTAATTCCCCCACCCCCAACTGTGCCCCATTTGCTGTTTGGAGTCAGATAAAGAATAATATTGGAAGACCTGACCTAAAATATTCCTAGCTACTCACATAAAGGCAACCAAGGAAATTGATAGGCATCTCCAATCATGAATTAATATTTTATTTGTGTGGGTCTGAGAATGCCCAGAATAATGAACTATGGTGGCAAGGAGAGATTTGCATAGATAAATGATTTCAAAGTTCATTTAGGAACAAACTGGCTCCTGGAGTGTCTGGGAGGATAATTGCACTTTAACCAACAGAGGGCAGGGCTTCAGAAAACCCTTCTGAAAATAACCTTTATAAGTACAGCCTCAGAGAAAGCATGTCTGCTACCTTGTCTAATACTGGACAGGATCATTATGAAAACCAAGAGGTGACAGCTGTTCCCACTGTCATGGTGACTTTCCTCACCCCTGTTAAAAGAAGGCAGGCAAAGTGGCTCTGGAAAAGATCCACAGAAAAAGGGAAAGATTTGGAAGATGCAAATGTTTGAATTAGTCTTGCTGTTCGGAGGGCTCACAAGAGGAGCCATGGAGGAGTCTAATCATAAACCAGAATTCAACAACCTAGAGGCCTCCCAATCTCTGTAAGTTTTTATGCTTCTGAAAACTACGCCCTGATGTAGCTTTCCATGGAATGGAAACCTACCACCCTTTCTTCTTTCACATGGACACAAACATATTAGAGATGGATATTTTTCCATGTTCCCTGCAGACTGGCTTTAATGTATCCCACAATGTTGTTCTCCAAGACATGCAACGCTGTGGAAATACAGTGCTAGAATGTGTGCAGTGTCTGTGCACCTTATAAGCCATCATTTCCTTCTCCTACATACCATGCTGTGATTAATATTCAATAACTGTCCCACATTGCTGCCTAAAACCAGCCAAATATAAAATAAAGAACCAAAAGGAGGAACATGCACATTTAATTCACTGAGCAAAGTTTTCTCTGACTTAAAGATGAAGAATCGTGGGAATAAAGAATCTACAGTCCTCGCTTAGGAAGCACGTACATTTGCATACAAAAAAGAAAACCTAAAAAGTTTTGAGATTCTTAGGAGAGAAGAAATCCCATGAAGGTTTTGAAGCTAAGATTAGAAGGCCAGAACCCAGTGTATCTTAGAAACATGTGCAGGCAAAAATTAGGGTGTTTTTATAGCATAGTCTTAACAGGGTCTAGAGCAGAGGAGACAGACTTATTACAAACTCTGGGACATATATTGCCTAAGGCAAAAATGAGCATTGTAAATATAATCAGTCTCCTGTAAGTTAATCAGACATTATTATAACTGACACACTATCATTTTCCACATAACACGTGTCAAGCATATTGGCCTGTCTACACTCAACACACTACTATGTTCAGCAAAGCCAGCAGGAAAGTAAAGACTTAATGTGTTTTGACCAAGTGTCTTTCACCAAGTAGGGACAAACTCATCATTGGTGCAAGGAAGAGCAGCATGTGGATTTCATTCACAGATGTCACCATCATATGTGCAAACTGTGAAATAAAAAGAAACAGAGACTCAGGGGAGATAAAAAAGTAGGTCCTTCCCATCCAATCCATATTAATTATCTCCTCATAAAATTGAATGTAAGTAGCTATTGTAATCTCACTATACAAAGGGTAAATGATATATTACCACAGGTGTGTGATGGTCCCTGAAGATTGACTCTTCAGGATTTAAAACACTGCCAGACAGATTGTAAAAAGGAGGAAGCAGGATGTCGGGGGGGGGGGGGGGAAGGATCTCTGCTAGAGAGGAAATTGTGGAATGACCAAAGGAAAATCATTTTTCAGTCAGTGAAACAGAGAATCATTTTGATTGTTACAGAGCTATGGTACCATCTCTCTCCCTGACAGCTTTGGGTATGATGAATTACCACACCTGAAACATACCACAAGTGATTTGGAAAACAAATTAAATAGCAGCTTTTGATGGGGCATTCAGGCTGTTGGGTATTGTCTACATTATCAATACAGCAGCGTATAATGAAAATGTTTCCTGATACCATGAAACATGAGGCCGTGGCATTGTCTCCTAGAACAACTCTGAGCATGAGGAGGAATTAAGAGTAGTCGGGACAAACCAATCGTTTGTGGTCAGCTAAATATTTTTTTCAGTCCTTGCAGTCACTGGTTTGTCTGGATATGATCAGAGTTCACTTACATGAGTTGCCAGAATCAGTTTTACAACAGCCCTGGGCGCAATGTGGTAGACAACATAAGTATTTTATATCACCTCTGGTTTACCTGATAAGGCGTTTTGTTTAATTGGCAGTCAAATCATTTAAATTTCATGTCTGTTACACTGGAAGTTTATCTGTTAGGTTGGCCTTTGCATGGCACCGGCTGGCCTAGGCAATTGTATGTACTGAGGTTCCCTTTTCAGTTACTCTTATCCACGCTTCAGCTATGAGATTTGACCAGAAAAAGGGGCAACAAATGTAAACCTCTTCTAAAGTGTTGGATTCCTTTGGCAATCGCTAGCATTTCCTCTTCTGAGAAATTTAAAGCAATTTGACAAAAATAAGTGTGTTACAGGTCAGCTATCTAGTAATCACTAGCTTTGTCCATGCTTTTATTGCATACAGGTAGGAAGGTGGAGGCACTGAGAGGTAGAGTAACTTAACTAAGACCTGCCTAGAAATGAGCACAAGGAGCAAGGCAGGAGCATAGGCAGGAGAGGCTGTGCCATTGAAGCTGGACCTTTTAACTCTAGTCCTGTCTTTGTCAGTGCCTACTACATGAATTTGAAGAAATCACCTGAGCTCCTTTTTACTATATGTGGATTGGGAATACCTATAGCCCCCTTTGTAAAGCATTTTGAAACCTCTGGTTGCAAAAAATGTTGTGTATCAAAACGCACTTACTAACAGAATTACTCTCTCTTAGCCAGAGCACTTCTCCAAAGACCCCTGTGAGACTTACCATTAGTTTATTGGAAAGAGTCATACCAAGCTGGTTTAATTTTATTATCTTTTTTTTTTGTCTGTTTTTCTTTCTCTCTCTCTTTCTCGTTGGTAATGGGCAGGTGAGAAACCCCACCAATGCAGCATCTGTTGGCGCTCCTTCTCTTTAAAGGATTACCTAATCAAACACATGGTGACGCACACTGGCGTGAGGGCGTACCAGTGCAGTATCTGCAACAAGCGCTTCACCCAGAAGAGCTCCCTTAATGTGCACATGCGCCTCCACCGTGGGGAGAAGTCCTACGAGTGCTACATCTGCAAGAAGAAGTTCTCCCACAAGACCCTGCTGGAGAGGCATGTGGCTCTGCACAGTGCCACCAACGGCACGCCTGGAGCCACCGGCACCGGCGCGAGGGCTGTCCCTGCCGGGGTGGTGGCCTGCACGGAGGGGACCACGTACGTCTGCTCTGTCTGTCCAGCTAAGTTTGACCAAATCGAGCATTTCAACGACCACATGAGGATGCATGTGTCAGACGGATAAGTAGAATCTCTCTCTCTCTCTTTGTTATGAACAAAAAAAATAGAAACAACAAAAAAGCTATGGCACTAGAATTTAAGAAATGATTTTTGTTTCATTTTTACCTTTATTTTCCTCCTTTTTTTGGGTTCGTTTCGTTTTGTTGTTTTTGTACTACATGAAGAACTGTTTTTTGCCTGCTGGTACATTACATTTCCGGAGGCTGGGTGAATAATAATTTTCCCAACCTCCCTCGGATGGTGGCCTTAAGGCCAGGTAGTGCTTCATGAGCTCCACTGGTTGGATCTCTAGCTACTGGCCTCTAAATACAACCCTTCTTTACTACAAAAAACAAACGAAAAAAAAACCACAAAAAAAAAAAAAAAAAAAAACAAAAAACAGACAGAAAAAATAGAAAACAAAAAAAAACCAATTTCTTTTTTCTCACTTGTGAAGAGCACTACAAAAAAAAAGAAACAAAACAAAATATATTACAAATCTACAAGGCCTACTGTCGTTATAAGTACACCGCTCGCAGTGTTTCAATGGACATAATTCACAATGCTGACCGCTTTCGGACTTCACAGTATCCAGTTAGAACTGTGGAATATTTTGCTTCTGGTTGAGCAGCAACCAGAGGAAACAAGGCCCTGCTGGTTTCCACCACGTGTCTGCTTTCTCACACACACATGCATCCACAAACATGCGAAAGGGCTGAGGGGAGTGCGAGGCAGTGTGGCTTGGATAGTGTGGAGTCCCTGCAGAGTGAGGAAAAAGAATCAGAGGTTCCTCACCTGGATTCTGCTCCATCCCACGCTCTCTGGCGCACCCTCCCCGCTGCTTTTCCCATACCACCACCACCACCTTACAGCAGAAACCAAGAAGATTCAGACAACGAGCAACGGTGGCTTTTTTGTAATTTATTCAGTGTCTTCGCTGAGCCCAGGGCCTCAGCACAATCAAGAGGGACTTTCACAGAAGGCAAAGAGAAACACAGAGGAAAATCAAGGATATCAGAGGTTGCAACCGATGGATCTAGGTACAAGAGAAGGGTTAGTTCCCACAATCTTTGCAAAAAAAAAAGTTGCATCAGGATTTATTCTTGTGGAAGAAAGAGGAATAGAGGGTGGGTGGGGAGGGGAATAATAATTAAACAAAAAAGAGTTCTTGGGACTTTTTTAATTCAAAATTTTATAGAGGGGCAAAAGTGACGTTTACCAGATAGAATGCTGATTTTTTTAATATATTTACAACAGTATTTGTGTAAAAAAAAAAACAAAAAAAGTGAGATTGTTAAAAGTAATTTTTCTTTGTTTTCTTTTTTGTTTTGCGTACACTGCCACTAATATCTTCTCTTTTATTATATATATGAATATATATATAAATATATATTTTATTTTAAATTGAGACTGTTAAGGTTAGCTAACCTGCTTCCAGATAGAGGGGGGGAGGGGAGATGATCTTGATTTTTATTTTAAAAAAGAGGAAGGATGTTTCTTAATTTTCTTTTCTAGTATTTCTCTCTCTCTCTCTCTTTTCTAATGGAATCAAGAATTACCTGGGTCGATGAGGGGCTCTGTGAAGTCATCTGTGAGATTATCTACTAGAGTTTGTGCATCCTGCAGTATCATTTGAACTGCTACTTTGTTTAATTACATGGTTCTCTTTTGGCTCTTACCAAGGTTCTGTTGTTTCTTTTTTTGGTTCTATCTCAGAATTTATTTCTGCTGAAGGGCGGTTCCTTTGAGAAAGATTTTTCTAGCAATGTTCCCTTGGTTTTGGGATGATAGAATCTGTAGTCTTTTCCTTCTTATTATTTGAAAAGGTATGAAAGTTTTGGAAGTGTGTAATAACTAGAATTTCCCTTCTTTTTGGTCACTGGACAAGAATTAGTCTGCTGTATTGTTCTCTCATCCCTGCCTTGCTCACTAGAGAGCTTCCATATTTGTGTGGGAATCTGATCCTGCCCCTGGTAATTGTGCTGATGCCAAAATAACTTAAAATGTTACCATTGCAAATAATCTTCCCTTCTTCATTTGCAAAAATGTCTAACTGAAGGGCCACATCCCGCATTCTCTGCATATGCAAAGCTATGCAAGGAATGTAGGATCAGTGTGAAAGATTGATTCCTGATCTGCATATATATGTTGGTGTTTTGTATTTTGTTTTATTGTGTTTGGGCTGGTGTTCTCCCTAGTCGTCTTCTGTGTATCTGTGTGAGAATTTTTCCCCCAAAGCCAACTCCCAAAGTACATGGGTCCTTAGTTCAGTTGGATCAGTGTCTGACACTATCTTTGTCTTGCTTGAAATCCATAGTTAGGATTTGCACCAGCTGCACTCTGGACTTTACATTTTAGGCAGAGAAGAAGCACCTAACAAAAATATGCAAAAAGAAAAAAAAAAAAAAAAAGAAGAAAAAATTGCTAGTTTAGCTTTTACTTGTGTCTATATTTAAGCTTTCTTAAGTTTACAAAACTTTGCTTGTGAACACTGAGCATTTCACATACAACATTCTTTTATGCTGGACAACTTTCTAACTATTGACTTGATAGATCTCCACATACAATTTTGCGTGTTCTTTACTTCTGTATCAGATGTCTGTGATTCAGCACAGGTAACCTCATTGCTATGTTCTATGCCTGTTCCATTACTGATTTATTTTGGGGAAAAAACCTGACAGGTGGTTCAGTCTCAGAATCTTTCTGTACCCTGCAAGGTATTGTTCAGCCGATCCTAAACATTGAAGCCCTGATTCTCAGGTGCAGTAGGCAGCATAAAGAGACTTTGAGGCAAGTGCCAGAGCAAATGAGTCTCTTATATGGTAACGTCTTTTTTTGTTACCGATTTGTTTGCATAGTTCAAAAGGGCTGGAGAAGGAGCACAAGTTAGTTAACAAATACTGTTCTCATAACCACATTGGTAAAAGCAATGCTGGCATGTAAACTGAGAAGTGAAAAGACAAAGCCTAAGATACAGAGAGGGAGAACTAGTATCTGCCATGTAAAGACACACTAAATCTGAACAGAAAATAAAGGTTCTAGAGACAAGGGTGTGGAAGAAAATGGGGAAGGTGAACCTCTACAAAAGGATTGAAGGTCTTTCTCTGAGGAAAGGAGTTTTTTCTGAGGTCTTTAGTATCGAAGAGTTTGGTGTTCTCCCATATGAGGAATTAATGAAGAATTTTACCCAGCTTAAAAATCTGTAGCTGCTCATTTGTCATCTGAGGTCTGGGGAAAAGCTGTTTAATTTGCCATTGTTAAATCTGGTGAACTATAGTCAAGATGTAGCATATTCTGGAATTTGGTTCTGATATCAGAAGAGATATGCCAGCACACAGGAAATAAGAATCAGTGTTTACATCCGCCAAAATTTGAACACTATGGTGTTTAGAGAGAAAAATCCTATATAAATTTTAATTCTTCAATTTTCAACTTTCCTTAAGTCAGAGAAGCATCATCTTTGAAATGCAAATTTATTATGGGGCCTAATAAATTTGAACTGAAATAAAGTTCAGTTGTGAATGAATGAAGGGTGCCATTTAAAAAAATAAACAAACTTCTTAAAGTAAAGCTCAGGCATACTAGATTGAATTCTAAATCACTTGTCAAAGAGCTTAGGCCAAGGTCTTCACAAATGGCTGCCTGAAATATAAACTGATTTTGTTGAACTTCCAGGCTCAAAAATTAGTGATTTGATTTTGTAAAATACAGAGCAGCTTGCAGCATGACTGCAAATGTAACTGAAAATGCTCATCAGGTCACTTAAATAAGTGCCCTTCTATGAACTTAGGAGCTCAAACATAGACCCCTTTATCTTTTAAAATGTTAAATTCTTTTAATAATGCTTCCTCCCATCTGTTGAAATATTTATTTACTACTTGGAAATAACGACAATATCTGAATGTTACAGGTATCATCAAGTTTCATGTTTTGCTACAGTATTCCTTAGCAGAAAGAACACCTGTGTTACACTAGCAGTCACAATGACCTACAAACTGCTGTTGACAGTGTTTGAGTGCATCCATTTCAGTAGGCTTGAAAGGCTTCCTTCAAAACACCTGATAAAACGATATAGATGAGAAAGAGCAGACTGTAGCACACATCCCTCTGATGGAGCATGCAATATCCTGCATTCCTTGAGCCTGATTCTCACTTTCCCTAAAGCTCTCTTTATATTGCTTTGGCAATGGAAAAGGGCATTAAATAGGACATAAATTCAAGCATACAAATCAAGGCCTCTACAAGGCAAAAGTGCAATAAAGGAAGCCTGAGAGTAAATGGGAGGTAAGTGCCTTCTCTTACTGCTGCTGAGGCTGATGAAGTCAATTGAAAATGTAGGATTGGCCAGAGCAGATCTGCCCTGTGGTCCACCTCGCCCAGTATTCTGTCTCTGACACATGGCCAGTTACGGATGATTTGGATGAAGATGAAAGACCCATGTTGGATAATTACAAAGTAATAAGCCTAAGAGAGAAGATTTGTTATAATCCTCATTAGCTATGTATCTGCTTATAACCTAAAGACATAATAATTTATGGCCTTAACTTTTTATCCCATATAAAAATTATATATTGTGGCAGATAATTCTCATTCTCCTTTAAAGATCTAGCTTATTAATTGCTAGGTGGCCCGAGTGCTATCCTGTGGAAGTGAGTTCTTGAGGTTAGTTACCACCTTGTTGAAATGATTCCTTTTCAGGAATTTTGTTGCTGTCCATTGAAACACCCTCTTTCCTGTTTTATGTGAAATCATAAATCAGAGACCCAAAATTTAACTTCTCTTGCCCATTCCACTGAACTCTGCCTCTCTCTGGGAAATCTGAATCCACAAGGAATGCAGGAGCACAACATCAGTCTGCTGGTTAGTAAGAAGAGAACAGCTACTGAGTGTGTGCATGTGCGTGTCTGGGGTGTGTGCAATTAGTGAGGTTCTTCTACAGCGACCTCTTGCAGAGGACTAGCAAGTACAACTCATAAATAATGGGAACACACCAGCAGACTACACCAGTCTAGCAATTGTAATATGGTATTTCAGTCTGGTCCCCCCTCTCACAAAACCCCTATTACTAGTCTCTCATAAGGGAAATAGGTATAGATATTTTGCAGGAGCTGCTCTGGGGACACTTTCTCAGCAACTGTCATGCTTCCACTAGGCCCACTTCTGGCCCATGGTATTCCTTACTTTCAAAACCAGCTGAAATTCACAGTAAGCTAACAGGGAAGGGTGGCATTTAATTGACTTTCTAGAAGAATGAGATTTCCCTTTGCTCTAAGATCAAAGAGGCCAAGTGGTACCTATTTTTCTTCTCATTTCTTTTTCTTCCAAAGGAGGGTTGAGTAATAACCCACATACCTTCAGCCCCCTCACTTCTTACCAACCCCAAACTGATTGATTTCAGTCAACCTTGAGCTATTTGATTAATGCTGGATCATTCACACGGTGGAGGAACAAATCTCTTACCATTACTGAGTATTATGCTAGCATGTCCTGCCTGTTGTTAGTAATGAAAGAAAATCCTATAGTGAGAAGGTACAAAACATACTATTTGCAGGAGTGTAGAGTCCAATCCAAAATCAAAAGCACCCAAACAATTTCAAACATAACCAGACCTTCAGTATGCCTAGGACTGAAGGCATACTTCAGTATGCCTAGATATGTGACCCTTCTGACAGTCTTATGCTAAGGAAATCCTCCAGCTCTCACTGCTGAAGATGACTTGCTGCCCAAAAAGAAATATAATATCAAATTAGCACCTGGTGGCTGTTCTGTCAAGGAAA